TTGAATATAAATGTTTTTCAGGTACTTCATCGACTCGTGAGAAGGGCAAGGTTTGAATGTACATATGTGCGTTCACAACATGTTCCCTCATAATGTAATTATACTCTGATATATTTTAGTAAACAAAAATGAAAAATTCGGTTGAAAACCGGGACGTTACAACTACCAAATTTATAATGGGTGAGGAAGGACTTATTATGTCAAAACTTAAGTTAAAAACACAGATATTGAGGTTATGAGGGTTCTGGCCAAAATAACTAATATTGAGGGACTAAATTTGAAAATGTTGCGGAAATAAGATGCATCCATTTCCCTTCATTCATAAAAAAGAATTGGAGAGAAAGCTAAGGAACTCTCTTATGATGATTTTTTTTCTATTTTTCATCTAAGGATTGATACAAGACAAGATTTGAGCAATCAAGCAAAGGAAAGAGGAATCAAAAGCTTGCTAGGTATAATCTCTTATCCCTTGTTCTAAATTTCGAGTTCAATGTTTGGGGAAAAACTCCAATGTCGATTTGGCTTCAAATTATTATTAGGATTTGTTTTTCTAACCTCCCTTGAGTGGTTCCCATGGTTCTAACCTCAATCTAATCATCACATTGATGGATTTAATGATTTGGGTAAAATATCCATGAACCCTAGAAACCCCAAATTGGGGATATTTCAATTGATGATAAAATTAGATTGTATTCTCTAGCCTAGATGATATTTGATAGCAACAAATCCAGTTGGAATGCTCAAGTTCATCCATGACGGTAGAATGCTACATAAACATGGATTTTAGGTGGTTTTGGGAGAATTTGTGATAAAAACAATTAAACCCCCTTGTAGTTCAGAATATTTAGAGTAAAGGAAGTCCATAATCATGAATGGATACTATTTTAGTGATTTGAATGCAAAACCATGAAGACTTGAATTATCTTTAGTTAAAATTATGGAATATTTGGCCATAAAGGTATTTTGGAAAGTTTAAGGATACCTACATGATGATTGACATATTATAAGTGAATGACATTCATTAATATGAATTGACACTCTAGAGATGATATTGGAACATAAACATGAAGGGATGCTAGTGAAGTTCTAGATCTAGTGATTGTTTTGGTCCAAAAGGCAATTCGGGAAACATAGAATGGAATTGAGGATTACATAGTTAGTTTATCTACTTATAATTAGATTAATGGTGGTTTTATATGCTTAGAAACTTTCACATGGGTATTCAGTTAGTTAGGAACAAACTATGTGAGATTTAGAATGTGAAATTAGAAACTAGACTAGCCAAACCTTCATTTAAAGCTTGAGGATCATCATATCCTTGAAGGTTTCAGTGAGCACTTAATGAATTAAGTGAAGTGTTTTAGCATGATAAAATACCTCTTAATCATGTGTGAGAAACAATACAGATGGTACAAAGCGAATTGGAAAGGGCCTTCAAGAACTATGTATAGTAGGATATTAAAAGAAGCAAAAATGTGTGCAACACCATTCATTCGGGCTTAGTAGATTTGGTTGTTTGAAAATTTAAAGATTTCTAACTTCTTCGTTAAGAGTCTGTTTGACCTAATTCCAATTGCATTAGTTAGAAATGGTTGAAAAACGATGTTTAGAAGAGTTTATAGTTTTTATGACCCTCAAGGGTATTTTGGTTATTTTGTTGACCTTCACTTACATTGTATAGGTGGTGTCTAAGGAGTGTTTACTCATGGATTTGAGCTCGAAAGGAGTAGCAATCTACATTGGTGACCTAGTTGAGTACGTGTTAGCATTTTCCCACTGTGGAGTACATTGCAAATTGATTTTATGATAATGAAAGATCAATGCTTTGATATATCAAATGTTTTGAAATGAATGTGTTAAATACTTTTGAGATGAATGTGTTAAATACTTTTGAGATGAATGTGTTAAATACTTTTGAAATGAATGTTTTGAAAGGATGTCTTGAGAGTAAAGAATGTTTTGAAAAGAAAGAATGTTTTAAAAGAACGAATGTTCTGATAACGTGTTCAAAATATTTTTGAAATATAGATGTTTTACCTTTGAAATGAGTATTTTGATACTAACACAAGAAATGTGTAAATTATGGAAAGTAATGATAAGAGACGAAAAGTGATACAAGAATATATTGGTCGAGCCATGATTTCCCCATAACGTGATATAGATGAATCTATTGGGGTGACGTTTCCCCTTCGCGAGATAGATGTCATGGGACTAAATTGTAAATTTTTAGAAAATAAAGGGATTTTTTTGCAGATTTCGTCAAAATTTTTATATAATATATAAACATAATTTTTACATATCTATATCTATTTTTACGTTTTTTTTGTATTTTGTATATTTTTATAAGTATATATTTATGTATTTTTATGTATTTTAAATGTATAAACGTATTTTTTACTTATTTATATGTATTTTTAACCATTTTACATATTTTTTATGTATTTTTATGTGTTATTTTTTATATATTATGTGTTTATATGTATTTTTATATATTTTTACGTATTTATGTATTTTTTTAAAGCTTTTTATATAGATGTTTATATATTTTAAGTGTATAAATGTATTTTTTACGTATTTATATCTATTTTTAAGTATTTTACATATCTTTTATGTATTATGTATTTATATATATTTTTAAAGTTTTTTATATAGATGTTTTTGTATATTTATGTATTTTAAATGTATAAACGTATTGTTTTACGTATTTATATGTATTTTTAAGTGCTTTACATATATATTTTTTTATGTTTTTTATGTATTATGTATTTATATATATTTTTGCATATTTATGTATTCTTTTAGTTTTCATATATAAATGTTTATGTATTTTTATGTACATTAAATGTTAAAGTGTATTATTTTTACATAAAAAATATATAAACACGTAAAAATAATACAATTAAACATTTAATATACATAAAAATACATAAAATTCTATATAAGAAAACTAAAAGAATACATAAATACCCAAAAATACATATAAATACGTAATACATAAAAAAAAAACACAAAAAATATGTAAAATAGTTTTAAAAATACATATAAATACGTAAAACAATACGTCTATACATTTAAAATACATAAATATACAAAAACATCTAAATAAAACACTTAAAAGAATACATAAATAGTAATACATAAAAATATGTAAAATACTAAAAAAAATAGATGTAAATACGTAAAAAATACGTTTATACATTTAAAATACATAAACATCTATATAAAAAGCTTAAAAAATACATAAATACGTAAAAATACATAATACACATAAATACATAATACATAAAAAATTACACATAAAAATACATAAAAAAAATATGTAAAATTGTTTAAAATACATATAAATAAGTAAAAAATAGGTTTATACATTTAAAATATATAAAAATACGTAAATATATACATATAAAAACATAATAAATACACAAATACGTAAAATTTAATATAGATATGTAAAAAAATATGTTTATACATTATATAAAAATTTTGACGAAATCTGCAAAAAAAGTCCTGTTATTTTCGAAAAAATAAAAATTTGGTCCCATGACCTGCTGAACAGGTCAAAAATGGCTAAAGTGAATAAATTAGCCGGTTTCTTGGGCTTTTCTATTCAAAATGTGAAAAAGTCAGGACTTTTTTATTCAAAAAATAAACTTTATGATTTTATTAAAAATTTGCCCAAAATATCAGGATTTTCTGGAAATATCCTCAAAAAGAATTAAGGACGAAATAAAACTTGACCATCTTATATCATTCTCCAACGGAAAGGAAATTTGAGAACCATCTAAATGGTTGAAGACATGCTAATAACGAAATTTGAGAACCATCTAAATGGTTGAAGACATGCTAGTAACTTTGAAGATCGACTTTGGTGGCAAGTGGGAAATTTGAGAACCATCTAAATGGTTGAAGACATGCTAATAACTTTGATGATTGACTTCGGTGGCAAGTGGGATGAACATTTACTCTACATGGAAATCTCTTACAATAATAACCACCATTCTAGTATTGATATACCACTATGTACTCAACGAGAGAAATCGAGAACCCGGTTGTGTTCGCTTGAACTGGGAGAGAGTAAACTCGTGGGCCCAAATATAGTTAAATTAACAAATGAAAAATAAAGGCGATCCAAAAAAATGTGAAGGTGGCCCACATATGCAAGCTTGAAAGAAGACTATTTGACTTTACGACCTGGTAATGTAGAAAGTATCACCTTGGAAAAGAGTGAAAGCGTTCGCAAAAGAGGGCGGTGTTCAAACCCATGAAAGCCTTCCACATCAGCATCGTGTGGCCCACGTAACATGTATTCACAACGAACTAAGTTAGAACAGGAACCGGTTGGAACCGAAGTGGTGTACCCATTTCAGTTTTCCGTTCGTAATTCCTATACATATGAATTCAGATTGGTATTTTATACATGAATTCACTTTATATATGACACGTTAGGAAGAGACTGATGCATCACTCTATATATGAATTCAGATTGCACTATCAATCGCTTTATTTACCCAAATATGACACAAATGAAGTACCAAACAATCCCATGCATGCTAATAGAAGTCCCAAACAGCACCTTGCATGTAAATGAATTACAATGTCACAAAACACCCCCTTGCATGTCAACAAAAGTATCAAACAACTCCTTTTTAATATTTTCTATGCGAAATCAGCCCCCGTGTTCGGTTTTTTTCGGTTCTAAACCTGAAACCGGTTCAAAATCAAAGATTTCCGATGCTCAACGGTTCCAAAACCGATTTACCCTATCTCGTACCTGGAACCGAACCGGAATAGCGGAACCGGTTCCTTTATACTGGTTCCGGAACCAAACACACCCCTCAGCTAACTATGAAAGTAGATTATACATTTTGCTGTTGATTAAGCTCTAAATTTATCTTAACTATAAACGTATAGCTTTTTAGAATAATCGTTAACTATTCTATTTTCATCTTTTTTCCAAAATACATAAACATGAAAATATTAGTTGCTGATTCGACTTGTGAGAGATTAAAAGACGTGTTAATTTATTTGAATGTTTCTTTCTTTCTTTCAAGTTTCAGTTTTGGAGCTAAAACTCATGTAAACTCAAAAACAAAGACTGCAACAGAGCTCCCTCTTTGAAGTATTGAAACGTGACCCGACCCGTTTAAAGAGATTCACCATATCTACCATTCTTGATTACCCCAATTAGTTCTTTTCATTTTCAGATCAAAAAGATGGTTGCCAACTTTCCATCGAAAGTATTTCATAAACCCTTCTTTCCCTCTAATAATTCTCAAAAATGGTTTTTGAGAGTTATCAAAGATCCCTCATGGATTTTCGAGTCTTCTTGATTCCATACTTCCTCTGTTCCATCATGTTCTTCCGCAATTTCTTCATCGAATCTTCAGGATTCCGCAAAATGTATCTCTTCTTCACCAAATTCTCATACTATTACCTTAATTTCACTCTCTAATCGGATTCCAATTAACTTTTGTTTCTTCAGACGTGGGTCGGTTATCAGATTACCGAATGGTGATTCCTATGGTCACCCCTTTGATCCTACTCGGGTCACCCAGATTTCATGGCGTCCAAGGTTTGATTCATCTCTTCATGTTCTTTGTTATGCGATTGCATCAACATCAGTTTAAAATTTGAAATCTGTACAGGGCGTTTCTGTATAGAAACTTTTTGACAGATGCAGAGTGCGATCATCTCATTGAATTGGTGCGTAATCGTTTCTACTTTCACTCTTTCAAATTCATTCACGATCTGGGAAATTTCTACTATAGAATTTGATATCGTGGCATTCACATGAATTTGGATAATCAGGCGAAGGATAAGCTGGAATTGTCCAAGGTTGCCGATAATGAATCTGGAGAGAGTGTAGCAAGTGAGATCAGAACTAGTTCAGGCATGTTTCTTAGGAAATCTCAGGTAAACTGATTCATTTTCATAATTAAACCTAAATATATGGAAAATTAATGAAGGATTATGAAGGATATGATGTTTGATCTTTGATTTGAAGGATAAAATTGTTGCTGGAATTGAATCAAGAATTTCTGCGTGGACATTTCTTCCTGTTGAAAATGGAGAAGCTATGCAAGTATTGCATTATGAATATGGTCAAAAATATGAGCCACATTGGGATTACTTCCATGATAAAGTCAACCAAGTAAAGGGAGGCCACAGGGTTGCCACTGTTCTTATGTATCTTTCTAATGTACGCAAGGGTGGTGAGACTGTCTTTCCAAGGTCAGAGGTATGAGTGTTTTTGGTTTGTATTTAAATTACTTTGTTGAAATTGGGTAGGTTTTTCAAAATATAATGTTGTTAGGAAGAAATGAAAGTAAAATAATAGAATAAGAAAAATAAATGAATGTACATTTTATATATTGTTTTAAACCCTTAAAAAAGTTTAGCATAAAATCATACATTACATAATTTCCACCCTCCAAAAGATGATTTCTAGATTTACAGCCCGAACCACCCAATAGATTTTATAGTCTCAGCTACATTTGTTTGCGATCTTTGTAGATAAAAGAATCTCAACCGAAAGCGGATGGAGATTGGTCTGAATGTGCGAAAAGGGGTTATGCTGGTAATTTTTTCTATCCCTTGAAACTTCTAATAAAAACACATAATTTAAATTTGAAATCAAAACACATTAATTATATACATAACACCCCATATTCAAATTTACAAACCAACCCAATAACCTCCCAATCAACTATCCATATGGGACCCATAACCTATTATTACAATACGTCAGGCCTACGTACCAAGATATTGTCAACTCTGGACAACCCAACATAAAGACTTTTTAGGAGGTCATTCATCTTAGTATTGTTCTCACCCTAACACATTTTGGAAATAGAGGTATCCACATGTTTATAAGAAATGTTAATTTGCAGTGAAACCGGAGAAAGGGGATGCATTGTTGTTCTTTAGTCTTTATCCAAATGCTACAATCGATGTATTAAGCTTACATGGGAGTTGCCCCGTGATAGAAGGCGAGAAATGGTCAGCAACAAAGTGGATCCATGTCAGGAACTTTGACAAGTCCGAGGATAACGCGAGTGATGGTTGTACAGATGAACATGAGAACTGCGGCAAGTGGGCGGCTGCTGGCGAATGTAATACGCATCGTGAATATATGATTGGATCTTCGGAAGGTTCCGGATATTGTAGGAAGAGTTGCAAAGTATGTTAGTAGATAAAATTTCTTGTGTGTTTATCATTGTGTGGCAATTTGGTGTAAAGGGAGTTGGTGTGTGTGATATAAGTTTAAGGGATATGTGAAAATAAATACCCATTTAAATATAGGCTAGTTCTTTTTACCATGTTCCTTGTAGCCTTATAGTGAATAAATACGCATTATGTATTTATTAAAATTTCAGGGTGTTAATTAGGTATTTCGGGTTTAGGTAGGTTGAAAATGAGCCGAGTCGAGCTTTAGCATAGCCAAATTCGGGTCGCCTCGATTCAAGCGTTATTGAACTGAGATCGGCTCGAGCTTGTAAAGAATTATACAAGCTTGGCTCGTTTTGTGTCTAACATACCTAAATAAACTTAAGCTTGATTCGAGCTCGTTAAAAAGTTCGTTTACTAATACCCTAAATCCCTAATTCCCCAAATATTTTTTTATTTTAATATATAAAAATAATAATAAATTATAGGGTAAATTACACGAATGGTTCATGTGGTTTTAGGTTATTTGGACACTTGGTCCCTATAAAGAATTTTTAACTCAGACCATACCTAAGATTTGCTTCCGTTACGCTTTTGCTCGATATGGAAAAGACTAAGTTACCCTTACTTTAACAATCAAGATTATTGGTATGTTCCTTTTTAACCCTTAATGTAAATTCCTTTCATTTTAAGTCCTTAGCCGAGTACATTGAGCATACTCTAGCCGAGTACGTTGGTCATACTCTATGAGTACGTTGGGCGTACTGCTTCATTAGTTGATCGCGGATGCGCCCACGTACGTTGGGCGTACGGGATAAACCCTAATTTTTAGGGTTTGTGCCCTATTTAAGCAACTTATGTTTCCTTGGTGGTATCTTTTGGTCAGCCTTGTGACAACCTGAAATTTTCCATTCTAATCAAACCATTTCAATCCAATAGAAGTAGAGCAGTTACAGTGAAAATTCAGACTTAGAATATAAGTTTGGCAGTTTCAGGGTTTTACACAAAAAAGGGGTATTAGGAGAGGGGTTACACTAGGATTTTGTGCAACACTGTAAATTCCATTACCCTAGATCATTAGAATCCATTCCGAGAATAGAAATATTTTCTGCCAAAAATCTCAGGACTATAAATAGAATTCTGAACCAAATTGGTTCATTAGTTGAATTCCATTTAGAGAAAAGCCAATTTCTCTCTCACGGATCTTCGGGTTTTCATCCCAGATTGTGAGTCTACTTCCCTAGATGTGTTTTAATACTTTTTATATGCTTAATACCATTATTTACATGTCCAAAACACAAGATCTGGGAGCTTACGGCCCAAGAACGTTCTTGGGGTGTAAACTCCAAAACAAGGCCTAAAGGCCACCTAGTCCCATTTCCTTGTTAGACAACTAGTTAAGGACTTATTGTAGGATGTTTTGAGGCTAGAAACCATCCAAGAACATAAAGCTTTTGGAGTTTACGGCCCAAGAGTTTCTTGGACCGTAAACACCATTTCCAAGGGCCAAAGTGTGCCCTAAATGACCCCCTAAGGCTTAAGGCATTTATCCTCTAATGCTTGTAGCTAATTTGTACACAAAAACACTTCAAAATCATAAAGTTCTAGGAGTTTACGGCCAAGAAAAGCTCTTGGGCCGTAAACCCCTTTTTCAAGGGCTAAAAGTGCCCTAATCACCCCCAAAGGCTTGGACTCTATTTTTGGCAAAAACCTTAATGTGTTTAGGACCTAGCAAACATAAGAAAAGCACAAGTATTGAAGAGTTTACGGCCAAGAATGGTTCTTGGGCCGTAAACTCCCATAAAAGGGTCAAAGGACACCCTAAACACTTCCTTAGGCCAAGGGACAATTTGGACAAGTACCTAGATGAGTTATGGACTAGCTAAAACATTTAGAACCCCATGTGTGAGGGAGTTTACGGCCCAAGATGTCTATGGCCGTAAACTCCAAGAAATGGTACCAAATGGTGCCATAAATCCTCCTAAAGCCAAGTACTAAAGCCTAGACTTGTTCCAAGAAATGTTTGAGACTTGAAAGCACCATAATCACCCTCCCAAGGGAGTTTATGGCCGTAAACTCCAAGGGAAAAGGGTCTTTGGCCGTAAACTCCCCAAAGGAGTCAATATGGTGCCCAAACACTTGTATATGCCTTGAAACAATTCCCACTAAGGTTGTAGTAATTGAAAGTACCATCCCAAGCCTTGGTTGGGAGTTTACGGCCAGGAGCTTACTCTCTTGGGCCGTAAACTCCAAAGAATATGGTCTTTTGACCTTAAACTCACATTAGGGGCATTGCACTCCTTTGTTGCAACCCTTTAGCCTCCTAGCACTTGACCAAAAGTGTTATCCTCGCGCTTAAATGTTATTACTTGTATAATTAGTGTTATAATCACTAGTTATTTATATACATATGTTTTCATATGTAATTAGGATCATTGTGTGTGTCTAAGTCTCCACTTGACACCCAGCACTTGTCCGATCCTTCCGTACGATAATAGTTCGTTCAATTCCAGTCACTTACTGCAGGTGAGTTCATACCCCTTAACTAATGTTTTAAACTCTTTTTAAATGTTTTATGGGTGGGGGGATACAAGTAGAATCATGCTACTTATTATTTCAATCACATGTGATTAGTAAGTAGGATTATATTACTTATTACATCAATCACATGTGATTAATATACAACATTCAAATGATTTGGCTACTCATTAGCCGTTTTACTAAACAGTTTCCTTCAAATGACTTTTTATAAACATTTTATATGTTTTAAACTCCTTTTTACACTGTACAGCTTACTCCGTACATTATCTTTCAAACTTATTTACAACTCTGTTTCAAACAAATGTTTCCTTATACTTAAACTGTTTTATTAAACTTATGCCTTCAAATTGTTTTACAGATTGACATCAAGTCGATCTTTTCTTAAAATAATATTTATGTTTCAAATGTCTTACAAAACTTATTTATGATTTTATATTATAAATTTCATGCCTCTATATGTATAGTTATATAAGAAATGTTTAAAAGACTTAGGAAGGCTATCCACCCTATTTCCTTTTCGCGCCTTAAGATGTGGTATGGTGGGATATTGGGTATTCATTCGAAAGTCGTTTAAATATTAGTTATATATCATGTGTACATATATAGTCATAAAAGGTCCTTCCAGTTCATCCTATGCCCTTGGGTAGCAAGGGTATACATCCATGTCCATACGTACCATTTAGATTACTAGAAAGCTACCATATGGGTAGTTCAAGAAGATGCTAGAACAATTACTAGAACGAGATATCATACAAATGAGTCAGTTCATTCATGAGTCAATACCTTCTAGAACATTACAGTACATTACTATACTTGCTAGATAGAGAGAACACACATTACAGCTAGCACATTTACATAAGTACATATACATGTTTACTTTTACATGATTACACTTACACGAGCACATTTACATAAGTACATATACATGTTTACTTTTACATGATCATACTTATAAGAGCACTGTTACATAGATATATCAGGAGGAGTCCTACTACATTTTATATGTATCGACTCTGTTATCAAAACCCTCATTCTTATCTTTACATTGTGATTTCAATCACATAATCGACGAGATAGATTGGATTTATTATCCTAGTACCCAAGGATACAGTTATGGGATTGACCATTCCTAAAATCTCTGTTAGCTACAGAGGTGAAAGTGATGGGTTTTGAGCATTCTAACACTTCCTAAGTGTACATGCAACCCTAATAACCTTGGACTATGTTTGTCTAATTATCATGCAAAGTTGAATTCCAAGGTTATATTCCTATCTAGCATACATGGGGAACAATTTTAACTTAAAGTATAGATAGAATAACTTACCTTGTTGTTGTTTGTGTTCATTGAAACCTTGTGAGCCTAGCACCCCAAGTGTGATGCCTCAAATGCTTCACACAACACCAAATGCTCTTGGAAGAACTTATGAGAGAACACACACTTCTCAAAAATCGGCCAAGCCCTCTTGTTTCTTAGTGTAGCCGATTTTAGGTAGAGAACATGTTTCTTATATAGTGTTGACACATCTAGGGTTACACCCTAATGTGTCATGACTCTTCATTTCCATGACCCATGGGTTTGTAACTCCCATGGAGCATCCATGGAGCATCCTATGGGTGGAACCCAACTTGATAGTCCATGGAGCCTTTTAGCCCACTATACAAGATATGGATGATTTACATAATCAACCCATATATTTAATTAGTTATCTTTTGATCACATAATTAATTCTAAATTAATTCTTGATCAAACTAATCAAATAATATTATTAATATATTAGAACTTATAATATATTAATAATCTCCAAGTGTTATTTCTCTCATTTAGTCTATCCAATTGCATGGTGCCATGCAACCCAAATGGACCATGCCGGGTCGGGTCAAGTACATACCAGAAATAGTTATGGACTTAGACACCTTATCCAACAGTCTCCCACTTGGATAAGTCTAATAACTATTACTGCAAGTATGACTTCAGGAACCGATCGGCAATCGTAGCTCTTTACAAGGTTTCTCGAAACTGAGAAGATGATGGTACGCCATTTAAGATAAGTGATCATATAATCCTCTGTTCTAGATATCAGTCGGACAAATACATGGAACAATGTCTTACTTATTGTCCAACAGTTTGTTTCCCGATTTCCGATTTGTTTGACAAAGAACTTCATTGAACACATCAATTTAGTTCTGACCGGGCCCGGTACATAGGTCAAAACAAAATCATCGAGGGGCCCAGATATCAGCTTCTAATCCAAGAAGGAACAGATAAACTTCGACTCATATGTTTGTTCTACTACTCATTGAATTACACACAAGAGCGCGATTTATAACATCGAGTTACCAATGCATTTTTCGTACAATCAATGCATAACCAACTTGTAAGTAACAAATCATATCTCTAGGTTTGAAGACTTATACGATATTACCGTCTCACGATCACTCGAGATAGAATTCCATGAAGTGATTCCAGTGAGCGTGGGTTGAGTCCAATGCTCAGAACTTATGAGCACTCATGATTGTTGTAGCCTTGTCCAAGACCTCTACAACCAAACATGACAGTCTTGATTCATACCTACTTCCGACATATGACCGACTGTGGAGGTTTGAATAATATGTTATACCAAACAAAAATTATTCTGGAAGTCAAAACATGCAAAAGAAATATAGTAAACGATCGACAAGAGATAGCAACACTTTACTCA